GGTAAGCGCCCTTGCCTCAGCCGCTGCCATCCGCCACCACTCTACCATGGGGATGCTACTAGGGTTGGGGGCGGAGGGTCCACCTCCCTCCCACCCCGCCTCTTCCGTCTCCGAGTGAAACACCAGTGTTTTGTGAAAGTGTGTCTGCTGCCCTGCTTCCCTGGGTGTGGCAGGGGCGGAGCATTGCAGTTGTCATTAGCCTGGAGTCTGACCTGGGCAGGTAGGTGGAAGGAGAAGCTGGGGTGAGACCCAGGGGGTAGGCTTTGGGTGCAGCAGTGCCTGCCTCTTCAAGGAAGCCCCCTCCTCAGCAGGGACATGAACACAGAATCCACAGTGGCAGGTGCCCTGGGCTGTTCTGGGCGGGACCACGGTGGGGGTGGCCCTGCACAGTGGCCTCCCCTGCCCACAGAGTGTAGGGTTTAGCTGCACAGAGGTGCGGCAGGTGCCTAGTGCCTACAGCCAGGGTCAAGGCCCAGAACCAGCTTTGCGACAGACTGGCAGGCTGTGATCTGCCCTCCCCCTGCTCAAAGTCACCAGCTCCTGGGCTATAGTCCGAGGCGCCTATGCCCAGCACAGGATGGGGTGGGGCTGAAGTGAATGGATCATGAACAGCCCATGGGAATTGGGCAGCTCTGCACCGGGGCTTCTGGCCAGAGGGACTGTCCTAATGGAGCTCACCTCCCGGCTGGATTCGCCTTTGTCGGGGAGTGGCCAGGCTGCCCCCTAGTGGGCATTCTCATCCTCAGGGGTAGGATCTCCACGACTTGAATCTGAATTCGCTTGGCTTCCAGGCATGGTCCTGGGGTTCCCTAGGGTTCCCTGGAGCTGGTGACTCAGTTACTGGTGGGAAGTTTCAATAGAATGCACAGATGGAGGGTTTCTAGTACTCAAGAGATTTTTGGTTGGGGACCTGCCACTGGCCCTCCCTTCCTTGACACCCAGTTTTGTGGCCTGTCCACACGTGGGAAAGGAGCTTCCCCTTGCCTCTTGTTGCATGTGGCTTAACTCAGTTCTGTTCTTGCTATTCTCTGCCCACCATCTCTGCAGTGTCTACCCTGCTCCCCCAGTCCTGCCCCAGCCCCAGCCCCTGCTGGCATCCTGCTGGGAGAGGTCTCTGAGAGTGGATCATGGGGGCCCTGGACAGTTTCTAAGCATCCTTGTCCCGGAGGGCAGCCCCACCCCCCCACCCCCGTAGGGGTCTAGGGGCCGTGGAGGGGGGGGGATGCATTTCGTGGAGGGGGGGGGATGCATTTCGTGGGTTTGGGCGCGGCTTCCTGACCCGTGCTGGGCGGGGCGCCCGCAGGGGCAGGTTCTTCGGGTCTGGGCCCGGCGCCCAGCGGGCGGAGGAGGATGTGGCAAGCTGAGCCGGGCCCTTTCGCACGGGCCGGGAGCAGGACTTGCTGTATGATCCCTGGACGACCGAGGGCGCCTAGGGCTCATGGCTGCATCAGGCACCCGGGGGGCGGGCGGCGCCTTCTACCGTCAGAGGGAGGTTGTGTTGGAGCTGCCGCGATGGCTGGACGGGGGCTGCGAGCGTGCACGCAGGGGCTACCTCTACGGACAGCTGTGCTGCGTAGGTGGGTGCACCCTTAGCTTGCTGGGCTGAAGGGACTGGGCAGCAGAAGCTCTCACCAGGTGGGGCCGGGGATAGGGGTCGGGTCTGGCCCAGGTGCAGCCCCGCCTCCGAGCTCCGGAAACACCTGGGGAAGGAGGCGGAAACACTTGGGGGAGGAAGGCGTGGGGCGGGGTGATGAAGTCCATGCTGGTTGGCTTGCCTCTGGAGTATCCGGTGGGAGGTGGGTGGGGCAGAGGGCTACAGCCGAGGGAGCCGGGAGCAGGGGGAGGGAGGGAGGTGCTGGGGGAGGGAGGGAGGTGCTGGGGGCGGGACCCAAGGCTTTCCGGCTCCAGGTTCCCTCCCACTCCTTGGGGTTTCCCTCCCAGGACCGAGTTGGCTGGGCTGTGGAAAGCGGGAGATGATCCTTCTCAGAGGGCTGTGGGGGGACTGAGCTGGTGCTGAGGGTCAACTGCCTTGGACCCTACAGGGTCAGACAGGATTGCCAGAGTACAGTGCTGGGAGCCCCGGGGCGGGTCAGACAGGTGGGAGAGGCCCCTGAGGTATATAATAGGCTTGGGGAGCGGACTGAGGACAGGTGAGGACTCCTATCAGTCTAGTTTCCTTTCCTTAGTGATTAGGAGGGAGGGGGCATCTACAGCCAGGGGTAAGGAGTAGGCAGGTCAGGAGGGGAGGGGTTGAGGAGGAGCTTGAAGTTCTAGTTCCTGAAAGGTGAAAGGAAGGAGGCACCCAGAGGCAGGACTGCTGCCAGGGGAGGGGTGCTGGAGCTGCCTGGGAGCAGGAAGAAGACTGGAGAATGGGCTTGGTTGGAGCATGGGGAGAGGGCCCACATGCATCATGGGTATCCAGTACTGGCTCCCCCAAGTTCCAGCTGTTGCCTGAATGCCCTGTGCCCATCTCTGTCCCACTCCCAGAAGCATGGGTGTTTGTGCCCCTCAACAGAATGACAGCCTGCTCCTGCAGCAGAAACTCACCCTGTTACTGCGAGTGTGGTTCCCCAGTAGGACAAGCTTCTTGCTCAGGAGGGTCCTGCCTAGGGAGGGGTGGGCACGTGTTGGGGGTGTGAGAAGCTCTCAAGCACACTTGCATTCCAAGCCCTGACTAGTGTGGAGTCAGATTTGGGATTTTGGAGGTTAAGGAGTTGATGTCTACTAGGGTTATGGGGGCTGCTGGGCCAGACGGGGCAGAACAGGAAGGTCTCCTGTTGGAGGCTGAGGGGTACTCTCAGAGGTGGGGGTGTAAGACATATGGCAGAATCCTGGGAGCTAGCCTTGCTCTTAGGCATTAGGGTGGGGCCTTAAGGGCCCCTGCCTGGCTCAAGACCCTGGGCCAGTGGGGTTTTGGTGCCCTCTTGTGGGCACAGGGAGCAGCAAGCATAGGGAATGGGGTGAGCTTTCCCCAGAATTGTGTGCTGTGGGAGGGGGGGTGTTCCTCCACAGCTCACAGCTGGAGCACATCAAGCCAGATGCGTGGACTGGAAAATTCTTGTGGTTGGGTGGTGCATTCTTTCCTACAGCAGTTGGTTGGGCTGGGCAGTTCTAGATGCTGGCCATAAGCCGCTCTGTCCGCTGACCTGAGGGATCCAGAGGCCCTTGTACCCTTTGCCCAGATCCTCTATATATTTTTACAACCTGGAGCAGCTGCTATCTCTGAGCCTCACCCGGCTGCAAACAGCCCCCTATCCATCCTGCTCCCAGGTGCGGTTTCCTTTTGAGTGAGTCACAGTGCCCAGGGCCCCTCCTCAACTCTGACTCACTGGCTGTGCCCCTTGGGGTGCTCCCCTCTGCCCCAGCATTTCCCCCAGGGGAGAGGTCCTTGCAGCTCGGCTGGACTGGCCTACTTGGATGAGTCAGAGCTCTGCTATGCTCTGCTCTTGCCTGAGGTGTGCTCTGCCTGGCTTGCCTGGGCTGGGCTTCTCCCGGCCCCTAAGGGATCTTGCAGGAGCCAGGCAGGCCCTTGAGCCTGGATAGAGCAACCTCGTTGAGGTGGGGGCCGTGGGATAGGGCATGGTCTTTCTTACTGTAGGTCTGAGAAGGTGTGAGCTGGGGAGCTCTAGGAAACAGAGGGGCAATGGGCTCCCTTCCCCAAGGTGTCACACAGGTTGGGGGTTCCTTTTAGAGCCAGACCCAGCAGGAAGGTGGGCCAGCCAAGGAGTGACTCTAGTGTTCTCTGAGAATGGGTGTGGCCTTAGCTTTTCCCGCAGCTCTCTGGGGACCCTTCTCCGTTCCCTGTGTGATGAAGGCTCATTCTGGGTGGCTGTGGGGTTGGTGAATTCTCTGGGGTCCTGGTACCAGTGCCAGCCCCTCCCCTGCACCCCCAGGTCCTGCTGCTGTGGCAGGGTGGGTGAGGAAACCCCAGTTTCCTGTTTCTGGCTACTGAGGGTGTGGCTGTGGGGGAGGGGCTGCCTTCCTCCTTCCCGCTGGGACACTCCCCTCTGGGGGACTGAGTGAGGTGGGGCTCTAGGGGCGGGGCAGCCTTGCTGGGGAGTACAGCCTGTAGGGAGTGGCCGCAGCCACTGCGACTAGGGCTATGAGTTAGCCTGTGTGGAGTTTGCATCCAGTGCAGCCGCCAGCCTTCAGCAGTCTGTGTGCCACGAGGGGCTGCCCAGAGCAACAGCACCTGGGGGCTGAGAGACTGAGAGTCAGGGGCCGGCAGCACCATGTCTCAGCATCGGCTCCGGGTGCCCGAGCCTGAGGGCCTGGGTGGCAAGAGAACCAGCTCTGAGGACAACCTCTACCTGGCTGTGCTCAGGGCCTCTGAGGGCAAGAAAGGTAGTGGGTACACCCTCTGGGCAGGGCAGGCCTCTGCAGCAGAAAATAATGTTTTCTGTGGCAGGAAGCCCTTGCTCTAGGTGGGAGGTGTGGGCATGGACTGGGGGTCTGGGTTTGGGGCCAGACTCAGATGGGGGGGCCAACTGCCCGTGCTCAACACAGATTGGCTTCTGAGACCTTAGTGTGGGATCAAAGTGGCAGGGAGGGGAGGCCCCTTGCCCTGTCAGGTGGACACAGCTTCCCCTACAGTGCCCCATCAGGGCCTAGCCCTGGCCCTGCTGTGTCCCTGTTTAGCCTCATGTAGAGGCAGTGTGTGGGGTGGGACAGGCTTTGACTTGTGCGCCCTGATGCAGCAGCTCTGGACCTCCCATCTTCTTGGGAGACAATAGGGAGATTGAGCAGAGGCACTTTGGGCCTAGCCCCCTGCCTGGACCAGGGCTGCTGGGCCTGGGTATATGAGGTCCTGGCCGTGCCGGAGGAGGAGGGTTTATGTGATCTGGGAGAGGCCTGAGGTGGGCACCGACGCGGGGGCTGTTGCAGGGCCTTCCTCAGGCAGGATCTGGCCAGCCAGGCTTTCATGTCTGCACCATGGTCACCTCTTGGGGCCTCCCTGGGCTTTTCCCAGGCCCCAGCTTAACTGGACTCGTCTTCCCCAGATGAACGGGACCGTGTGCAGAAGAAGACCTTCACCAAGTGGGTCAACAAACACCTCATCAAGGTTGGTGGCACCTGCTTGTGAGTGGAGGAGGGAAGGGTGTGGCAGATGGCCCCTGCCCCAGGGTGTCCTCCACTGCTGCATTCCCCTTTCATCTCTGAAACCTGTTATTTTCTGTCCTCTCCTCCCACGCTCCGCTCCGTCTCTTTCCTTCTCTTCCTTTGGTCTCTGCTGTAGCACTGGAGGGCAGAGGTAGGTGCTTAAGCAGAGGCATGAGCATGCTTCATGCCCCTGCCTCTTTCCCCTTGGTGCCAGTGCCCAGTACTTTTCTCTGCCCCTGCCTCTGGGCTGTTGGTGGCCCTGGGGAATCTGTGGCCACTCTAGCCCTGCTGTTCCCACAGGCCCAAAGGCACATCAGTGACCTGTATGAAGACCTTCGCGATGGCCACAACCTCATCTCTCTACTGGAGGTCCTCTCTGGGGACAGCCTGGTATGTGCCCCTGCCCTTTTCTGTGGTCCTGCCAGCATCACCCTCAATGCCCCTGCCTGCCTTACCTCCCTGAGGTCTTTCCTGACTGCCCAAACTGTGTCTAGCTCAGCCCCCTCCTGCCTTCTCCTTGGAAGCAGTCCCCCCACTGTGCCTTCACGTCCAGGGTGTTGGCATCACAGCTGACAGCCTGGCTGGGGAGTGGCCACCACCCCTGTGCTATGGGCTGCTGTCTTCTGCATTGGAGTCCTAACACAGTAACCTCATGCTCTGCTCTGCTTTGGTTTCTCTGCTGCTTGGACTCTGAATCTTGACCTCTGCCCTTTACCCTTTGCTCTGCTCTGGCTGGGCAGCCGAGGGAGCGGGACGTAATCAGGAGCTTGCGTCTGGTGAGTGGTTGTGCCCGTTGGCCACAGAGGCACATGGGCTCCCTGAGACTGTGGAGCCCAACTCACCTGGGCTGGCAGCTAGTCTGGCCCGACCCACTCCTGGCTCTTGGGCGGGTAGATGGCTGTGCTTCAAGCTGCCTGCTGTCCTGCCTGCTGCTATACCTGGGTCTGGGCCTGGGACCCATGAAAAGAAGTGGCTGCCATCACTGGGCAGGAGGACACACCTCCAGTGCCACTGCCCTCCACCCACAGCTTCCTGGCTATTGTCTTCTCCCCACCCCCTTCCTTCCTTCCCACAGCCTGGGTTGGTTTCCCAAGCCCCTGCTGGACCTGGGCCCAGGCCCTTCCTGGCCCCTGGGCTGATGGCCTCCTTTTTGCAACTGGGGAGGGTGAATCTGGGATGTTTGAGGGGCTGCTGACCCATTGGGGAAGACCTTGGTTTAGTTGTTGCAGCTGCTTTGGGGGTACTGGGGGGATGGGGCTGGGACTGCAGCTGCCATGTTGATGTTGACTATGCCATGCCTCCTCTCAGCCCCGGGAGAAGGGGAGGATGCGCTTCCATAAGCTGCAGAATGTCCAGATTGCCCTGGACTACCTCCGGCACCGCCAGGTAAGGCTGTCAGCCAGCTACAGGCTGTAGACCCCAGGTACCCTTCCTGAGATGCTGCCCAGTGAGCTGTGACTGAGAGCTATTTGCTCACAGGTGAAGTTGGTGAACATCAGGAATGATGACATCGCTGATGGCAACCCTAAGCTTACCCTAGGCCTGATCTGGACAATCATCCTGCACTTCCAGGTAAAGTGGCTGCCCCTAGATGTCTCTGGGGTTGCTGTGGGCTCTTTGACTGGTTAGCTGGCTTGATTTCTGGCTGGGGTATGCTCAGGAGGAGGTGTTTTTCTATTGGGCTGGCTTGTAGCCTGAAGGCTCAGGCTTCTCTCCAAGACCTGCCTATCCTGTGCCCTCTGGCCCCAGCTAGGCAGGGCCGTAGAGCCTCCTTGGAGAAGAATGTGTTCTCTCCTGGCTGCCCTGGGGAAGCTTCTGGAGCTGCAGGGGCTGCCCTGGCTGACTCACCATTGCCTGTGCTGGCCGCACAGGAAGCCACAAATCTGAGATCTAGGCAGAAGAGCTAGGCTGGCACCGCAGCTGAGTCACAGGCGGGCAGGCCGGCAGACATTAGGGATAGGTTGGCAGATGTACTGACAGCAGGCAGACTGGCAGACCCAGGCCTGAGATTGGACAGAGTGCCAGGCATACATCCTGCCCAGCCCCCAGAGACTCCCCACCCTGGCCTGCAACCAGAGAGGAGGCCTTGACCTGTCCCCACATGCCACCTCAACAGCCTTTTCTAGGTTTGGGGGTTCTGGGAAGGCTCTGGGGGTCTTCAGCTACCCTTCTTGTGCCTGCTGTCTACCAGCTGTACTCTGTACTAGTCTCTGGATGTGGAGGGTGTATCCCAGGCTTCTCTAGCTAAGGAGAATCCAGAGTGTCTACCACGTGGTGTTAGTGGGGTTGGGGCACTGACTTATTCTGTGGCAGTTGCTGGCTGCAGTGGCCCGGGCTTTTGGTCTTCCATGTGGTGTATCTCAGTGGGACAGAACCCTGGGGGCCCCACTGTACCTCACCTGGGGCCTGGTGACCCCTATATACCCTAGTTGGGTGCTGAGCCACCCCTGCTCCCATGCAAGTGATCATGGGTATCACACAGGGTGGCCAGCTGGTCAACCTGGGTGGCCAGAGCTAAGCCTCTGCTTCTGTTTACTGTGTGGGGCAGATCTCAGACATCCAGGTGAGCGGGCAGTCAGAGGACATGACAGCCAAGGAGAAGCTGCTGCTGTGGTCACAGCGCATGGTGGAGGGCTACCAGGGCCTGCGCTGCGACAATTTTACTTCCAGCTGGCGTGATGGCCGCCTCTTCAATGCCATTATCCACCGGCACAAGTACGTGGCCCCAGCAGGTGGAGGCGGGCTGTGGGTCTGGGGCACCTCAGCTGGGCAACTTCAAACAAGTCAGGGCAAAGAGGGTGGCAGGAGGGATGTCTGCCACTGATGGGAACTTGGCGCCTGCAGGTATGAATGCCAGCCAGCCAGCCAGCCACCTCTGCGAGGTGCCAGTGAGCAGGCCCAGCCCCATTCTTCCTGAGTTCTTAGGAGCACCACTGTTCCTTGAAGCCTGTAGGACAGTGAGATGCTGGTCCTGCTCATGTGGACACCTCAGAAGGGGCCTGACAGGCAAGGAGGCTTCAGGGAGCCCAGGTTGACTGTATCCCTACTCAGTGCACTGCATCTGTGACTATCCCCACTATAAGCCTCTGGGGCTCTTGGAGGGTGGGGCAGTGGGGTCCATTCAGGTCTGTCCGTGTGGGCAGGATTGGGGTGTTAGTGTGTGTCAGATTTTTCAGGGTAAGTATGGGGTTGGGACTGTGTCTGCCGGGGTGCGTGAAGGCCCAGCCTGCCTCACCTGCGCCTTCATCCGCAGGCCCATGCTCATAGACATGAATAAGGTGTACCATCAAACCAACCTAGAGAACCTGGACCAGGCCTTCTCTGTAGCAGAGCGGGACCTAGGAGTGACTCGGCTTCTGGACCCCGAGGGTAGGAGCTGCTGGCCCTCCTCCCTTCCTCTTCCCCTTCCCATGTCCACACAGGCTCTGTGACTCTGTCCTCCCCTACAGATGTGGATGTCCCTCAGCCTGATGAGAAGTCCATCATCACCTACGTCTCGTCCTTGTATGACGCCATGCCCCGTGTGCCGGGCGCCCAGGATGGGGTGAGGGCTAATGTGAGTGATGCCCCAGGGAGGGTGGGGAGTGTGTCTTGAGCCCCGTTGCTCTCCAACAGCTGCTCACTCATGTGCTCACAGGAGCTGCAGCTTCGATGGCAGGAGTACCGGGAGCTGGTGGTGCTGCTGCTGCAGTGGATACGGCACCACACTGCTGCCTTTGAGGAGCGCAAGTTCCCCTCCAGCTTTGAAGAGATTGAGGTGGGCCTATCCACTTGGGCCAGGGTCCTGTGTCTGCCTTGGCAGGGATGCTGACAACCCTTGTCCCCACAGATCCTTTGGTGCCAGTTCTTGAAGTTTAAGGAGACAGAGCTTCCAGCCAAGGAGGCAGACAAGAACAGGTCCAAGGGCATCTACCAGTCCCTAGAAGTAAGTGGGTGTGCCCCAGGGTGGTGAGTAGGGTGTGCTGTAGGGAAGTGACTGGGGTGCCCCTGAGTGTGGTGAGTGGGGCATCCCCTGGGGAGGTGAGGTGAGTGCAGCTCCCTAGAGACCCAGGGCCTGGGGTCCCCTCAAGAGTGTGGCTTGAACTTTTGGGACCAGGGCTGTTTCAAGTTTGGAGGTGCTAGGGACCTTGGGGTCCAACACTCTCACCATTTGCAGCTTGGGCCTTATTAGTTCTGTCCCTGATCTTAGGGAGCCGTGCAAGCAGGCCAACTCAAAGTACCCCCTGGCTACCACCCCTTGGATGTGGAGAAGGAGTGGGGCAAGCTACACGTGGCCATTCTGGAGCGGGAGAAGCAGCTTAGGAGCGAGTTTGAGAGGTAGGTGTGGGGAGGCTGCTGGTGGGTGGGGCCTTGTGGTGGCAGGGAAGCCACCCCAGGGTGAGTCACTGCCTGGGGAGGAAATCCCCCCCCCAGGCTGGGGAACCCAAGCTCCAGAGTTCCTGGCCAGCAGGACAGTGGGCCCCAGGCAGGCAGGGAAGCCAGAGCAGAGGGGAGCTGCTCTCTGGCCAGGGGGCATGGTGGGCCCACCAGCTCACAGTCTCTGGTCTTGTGTTTGGGGCTGCAGGCTGGAGTGTCTTCAGCGCATTGTGAGCAAATTACAGATGGAGGCTGGGCTTTGCGAGGAGCAGTTGAACCAGGCCGACGCCCTTCTGCAGTCGGTGAGGGGGAGGGGAAGGAAGGAGTGAGGGGCGGGCTTGGGAGGTGGGAGGAACCCCAAGCCAGTCCTGCCCTGCAGCCAGGGCTATGACTAACTGGGCTCTGTGGGCAGGGTGGGGCACTGGGAGGGAGAAACCAGGCCTAGCTCCTCCCCACGCAGGGGCGGGGGCAACTGTGATCTCCTGCTGTGGGCAGAACTGGCCTCTTTGTACCAGGCAGGGCACCAAAGAGGCTGCTCTGCCCTCTTGCAGGCTCACCCCATCCCAACAGCAGCTTAACACTAGGGGAGGGGTGGTGGGGAGATGCCCAGTCCTACTGCTGGCTGAGTGTGGGGCTCAGAAGGTGCAGGGCTGTCTGTGTGGATCTGGGCAGGATCCCACTGAGAGAAGTGACAGTGTGGATAACGGTGGATGAGGCCCAAGATCCCGTGAACAAGCCTGTAAAGGACCTCGGTCCTTGGATCTAGCAGGATTCCTTTGGACAGAAGCCTGACCCCTTAGAAAGCTAGCCTGTATAGATATGTGGACAAGTTTGTCAGGAGCATATGTGGGGATCCCAGGGCAGTGGGTAAACTGAGGCCTGGGTTGTAGGCTGGGGAAGTGGGTGAAGGGGGCTGCCTTGACTGATGACCCTGTGGCCAGACTTGGAGTCACAGATGACCACCTTGCAGGATGTCCGGCTACTGGCCTCAGGCAAGGGGCCACAACGGGCAGGGGAGGTGGAACGGGACCTGGACAAGGCAGATGGCATGATCCGGCTACTGTTCAATGATGTGCAAACCCTTAAGGATGGGCGGCACCCGCAGGGCGAGCAGATGTACCGCAGGTGGGGTCCGCCTGTGCCCTTCCCAGGGAGCCTGGGTTTGGGATCCTGGGTTTGGGAGCCTGGGACCTGTCTGAACCCTCCTGACTCCTCTGCTGCCCCAGGGTGTACCGCCTGCATGAGCGCCTGGTGGCCATCCGCACCGAGTACAACCTCCGGCTGAAGGCAGGCGTGGCAGCCCCTGTGACCCAGGTGACCCTACAGAGCACACAGAGGAGACCCGAGGTGGAGGACTCCACCCTGCGCTACTTGCAGGACCTGCTGGCCTGGGTGGAGGAAAACCAGCGCCGTGTGGACAGTGCTGAGTGGGGTGTGGACTTGCCCAGTGTGGAGGCACAGCTTGGTAGCCACCGAGGCCTGCACCAGTCCATTGAGGAGTTTCGGGCTAAGATCGAGCGGGCGCGCAGCGATGAGGTGGGCAGCATCCTTGGGTGGGCTGTTAGGTGGTGGGCAAGGGCCTGGTCCCGGCAGTTCTCATCCTCCTTGTCTCCTACAGGGCCAGCTTTCCCCTGCCCCCCGGGGTGCCTTCCGTGACTGCCTGGGTCGACTAGACCTGCAGTATGCCAAGCTGCTGGTGAGTGGGGACCCGGCGGGGACTGGGGAGGTGGGCAGGCAGCAGTCTGCTAACGTGCTCCCTGCCTGCCCGCAGAACTCCTCCAAGGCCCGCCTCCGGTTCCTGGACAGCTTGCATGGTTTTGTGGCAGCTGCTACCAAAGAGCTGATGTGGCTGAATGAGAAGGAGGAGGAGGAGGTGGGCTTTGACTGGAGTGACCGCAATGCCAACATGGCTGCCAAGAAGGAGAGCTACTCGGTGAGTCTGTCTGGCCTTCCAGAACCCTCCTGCATTTGCCCACACCCAGCCCCACTGTTGGGAGTCTTTGGGTGGCCAGTCAGTTCCAGCTCAGGCTCCATGGAGGCTGGCACAGGATTTGGATTGTGTTTGTTGGAAGATTATAGACCCCAGTCTGCCTCCAACACTATTCCTGAGACCCTCTTCCCTTGCATCAGGCCCTTATGCGTGAACTGGAGCTGAAGGAAAAGAAAATCAAGGAGATTCAGAATACTGGAGACCGACTGCTGCGAGAGGACCACCCTGCACGGCCTACAGTGGAGGTGAGGTGGGACTGCAGGGCTGTGGGGGACCAGCACCGGCCTCCAGATGTTGGGGGCCGTGGGGCAATACCATGGACGCTTAGGTGGAGGTAGGGCTGTAGGGGGCCCCCATGGGCCCCAAGGGATCTACCGTGGGTCAGAGGTGGGGAAGGAAAGGCGCTGTGGGAGGCCATCTTGGGCCCCAGGTGGGGTTGGCAAGAAGCTGTGGGTGGGGAGAGGGATAGGGACCACCCTGGTCCTAGATGGGGTATGTGGGGAGGGGATGGGGTACTATGGACCTCCCTAGGTCCCACGTGGGGGATCTGAGGAGGTCCTTGTCCTTTAGTCTTTCCAGGCAGCCCTGCAGACCCAGTGGAGCTGGATGCTACAGCTGTGTTGCTGTATTGAGGCTCACCTGAAGGAGAACACTGCCTACTTCCAGGTGAGACCCCTGCCTCACCGTGGCTCAGCTGCAGCACTCTGAAGGTGCCTCCGGACCACACTTGGCAGTAGGATTGGCCCTGACTGCTAGCCCTTCCCCGATTGCCCCCATGTTTGCCCCTGACTGCTCGCCCTCCCCCGATTGCCCCACTTGCTTCCTGCACTCAGGAGTCCTCCCCAGTCCTCTTGGGCTCTGCTACTCCTTGCCTTAAGCCTTGGCCCTTCAGTCTGCTCCCCACTTCTGGGGCCTGGGGCATCCCTGCATGATCTTCTACTTCCCTGCTCAGTTCTTCTCAGATGTGCGAGAGGCTGAGGAGCAGCTGCAAAAGCTACAGGAGACATTGCGAAGGAAGTACAGTTGTGACCGCTCCATCACTGTCACCCGGCTTGAGGACCTGCTGCAAGATGCCCAGGTGAGGCTGAGGCAGGCAGGAGCACAGGGACAGACTGACTTGGTGTGGGCTGCATTGGTGCCTAGGAGTTGGGGATGGAGGACCAGCACAGGCTGGGGAGGTCTGATGAGGGTGGTGGGTGTGTGATGAGCTGAGAGGCTGGTGGCAGGTTGCTGCCAGGAGCTGGTGTGAACTCCCACCCCTATAGCCTACACAGGTGGAGGCCCAAGTTAGTGGCTATCACCAGTCCTGTGATTGGGCATGAATGCTGGTTTTCTGGCCCCCATGGCTGGAGTAGGCACAGGCTACATGGTTGTGGAGGGCTGAACAACAGCTAGTCATGGTGCCTGCATGCAGGGGTGAGGAGCACTTGGGGCCACAGTGCTTTGGGTGAGCAGTAATGGAGGGAAGAGTGAGAGGCAGCTGGTTCTGTAAAGTGCTATTCTGTAAAGGCTGGGACTTCAGTCTCAATGTCAACCTGAGAGAAGGTAGTGCAGCTGCCAGCTCACAGCCTTGGACAGTCCCTTGGTGAGGTTTGGTTGGACAGGAGGAGGTAAGTGACCTGCTCCTAAAAAGGGAGGAAGGAGAAGAGAGCCACCGCAGGGGCCAGAGTATAGCTAGGCTGGACCCCTTCCCCTGAAGGACATAGTGGGTGACCTGGGATAGGGGTAGGGCATCCAGTCCAGATCCAGGGAGTAGGATCTGCTTGGGGCCCAGGCCCTGGGGCCTGTCCCAGCCATACCTCCTGCCTCCAAGTGTCCCCACCGCCAGCATCAGGAAGGCCCCCACAGTCCTGGCAGTCCCCTGATCCTGGAGGTGCTGGGGTGTCTACTGCTTGCTGGAGGTAGATATGCATGTGTCGACCCTGAGCTCTGCTCCTCTCCACAGGATGAGAAGGAGCAGCTGAATGAGTATAAGGGGCACCTCTCTGGCTTGGCCAAGAGAGCCAAGGCCATTGTGCAGCTGAAACCTCGCAACCCGGCTTACCCCATCCGAGGCCATGTGCCCCTGCTGGCTGTATGTGATTACAAGCAGGTGGAGGTGAGGGCTGAGCCAGGTGGGGCGGTCCGACTGGAGGGGGTGGGTAGAGGCATGAGCATGACCACATTGTCATCACCTCTGGCTGTCCCAGGTGACTGTGCACAAGGGTGACCAGTGCCAGCTGATGGGCCCTGCTCAGCCATCTCACTGGAAAGTGCTTAGCAGCTCTGGCAGTGAGGCTGCTGTGCCCTCCGTGTGCTTCCTTGTGCCCCCACCCAACCAGGAAGCCCAGGAAGCCATCACCAGGTGGGTGGCCTATGGGGTCCTTGACTGGAAGGGGTGGATAGTGGGCAGGGCCTCAAAACCCTTGACTGTGACCCTGACCTGCCAGGCTGGAGGCCCAGCACCAGGCCCTCGTTGCACTGTGGCACCAGCTGCATGTGGACATGAAGAGCCTTCTGGCATGGCAGAGCCTCAGCCGTGATGTGCAGCTCATCCGTTCCTGGTCCCTGGTCACGGTATGACTGCCCACTGGCCATGGACATTCTGGGGGAGAAGAGGAAGTGGTGTCCTGTGGGGAGCCAGCTAGCCTCATCCCACGTTAACCCCCATGTCCACCCCCAGTTCCGCACATTGAAGCCTGAGGAACAGCGCCAAGCCCTACGCAGCCTGGAGTTGCACTACCAGGCCTTCCTGCGGGACAGCCAGGATGCTGGCAGCTTTGGGCCAGAGGACCGGCTGGTGGCAGAACGCGAGTACAGCTCTTGTAGCCGCCATTACCAGCAGCTGCTACAGAGCTTGGAGCAGGGTATGGGGTGGGCATGGCTGGTGTCTGGGCAGGGCAGGCAGGCAATGGACCCAGCAATCAAGTGACCAGAACGTGTCCTCAGGTGAGCAGGAGGAGTCTCGCTGTCAGCGCTGCATCTCAGAGCTCAAGGACATCCGGCTGCAGCTGGAGGCCTGTGAGACTCGCACCGTGCACCGTCTTCGGCTGCCACTAGACAAAGAGCCTGCGCGGGAGTGTGCCCAGCGCATCGCCGAGCAGCAGGCAGGCGCTGTCCCCTTTCTCCTCGCTCTGCTTCTCAATCCCACTTTACCCCTCCCTCAGCCTTCAGGGGGTGCTTTGTGTTGGGCTCTGCTCATCAGGGTGTCCCCACCCAATCTTTCCTCAGAAAGCGCAGGCTGAGGTGGAAGGGCTGGGCAAGGGGGTTGCCCGACTCTCAGCCGAGGCCGAGAAGGTCCTGGCCCTGCCTGAACCGTCGCCTGCTGCCCCGACTCTGCGCTCAGAGCTGGAGCTGACCCTTGGCAAGCTGCAGCAGGTCCGCAGCTTGTCTGCCATCTACCTGGAGAAGTGAGTGCCTGAGAGCGCCGGGCTGGGCCAGGCTCTGGGGAGGCCTGTGACGTCAGGGATATTCTGAGCAGAGGAAGGACAGAGTGGTTGGATGAGTTGGGGACATCGAATGACTGGGCTGGGAGGTGGTGATCTCGGACTGGCATGGCAGCTGTGGGGGTGGCAGAGAGTCCAAGTCTGATGTTTGTGAGGGTTTGTGTGTGTGTGTGTGTGTGTGTGTGTGTGTGTGGTTCTGGGGATTGAACCCAGGGCCTTATGTGTGTGAGTCAAGCACTTTATCAACTGAGCTGTGTCCCCAGCCCAACTCTGAAGTTTTTGAAGATGGCTCCCACAGGGTGTCCTGATGATGTTTTGTGGGATGTGACGGGGAGAGAAGGGTGGAGGGGATGGGTGCTCCTGACTGATCTGGGGAGACTTGGAGGGTCAGCAGGCAACTCAGTGAAGAGTCGGGGAGATGGGGTTAGAGCAGAGAGTGGTCCAAGTTGTGAACAGAAGGGAGTACAGGTGGAGGGAGGACGGAGGAGGAGCCTTGGCTCCCAGTGTGGCCCAAGTCTGGAGGAAGAGGAACACCAGGAAAGGGCCCAGGATAGTAAGCTCAGAGGAGAGAGAGCCTGCCTCACAGAGGGCCTCTGTGATTTTGAGAGAAGGATTTCTTGATGGAGGCTGGGGAGGAAGACCTAGGAGGAGCTTCGGAATGGAGACAGTGGGTAAGAGAGTCGAGGGACTGGGCGGTGAGAGGCTCCCCTGGCTCCCCACTCTCCTCCCATCAGGCTCTTCCCAGAGCCCTTGGTGATGCGAAGGGCCCGTGCCGGTGCTCTGCCTCTTCCACTTGCGCTCCTGCCCCACCCCATCCCAGCCTCTTCTAGTCTTCGTTTGCTGTTTACTTCAGTGCACTTTAACGCAGACACATAAAAAGTCACACATGCGTAGGGATTGATTTTCAGAAGTGTAAGAAGAGATCTCTCTCTGTCTCTGCCTTGTCCATCCTGACTCCAGGGCCTTCAGCGTTTATTCTGGCATTTATTGCTTACTGTATTACAAATAGTGCTTCTGCCCTTTGTCTTCCCTTTAGTCACAAATACCAACACACTATTTGAGAGAAATATCACTGTTGGGTATGAGGTCCCCCTCAGCCAGTATTGATTTTGCTGGAGTACTGAGAGCTAACTACACTCTCAGGGGGCTGGGGCTGCAGCTCAGTGACAGAGCGCCCATCTTGCACGTGTGAGGCACTGGGTTCGATCCTCAGCGCCATACAGGAATGAATAAGATATTGTGTCCAACTACAACTAAAAAAAAACTGACTGCCCCAGGATCTTGATGTCTGCTGTTCCTGGCTGGAGCATCTGCTCTGCAGGTCTTCAGGCTGGAGCTTCAAGTAGCTCTGTGCCAAGATTTCTCTTCAGGTTTCTTGTTCTCCTCGGAATCTGTGACCACCGGGATTAGCTGAGCAGCAGGGTTCTGCTCAGGTTGGGTCTGGGCTTGCCAGAGGCTCTAGTTTCCCCACCTAGGTCTTATTTCTAGAGCCTACCTGCCTTGGCTCTGATCCCCACTCTCCCTGCCAGGCTCAAGACCATCAGCCTGGTGATCCGCAGCACTCAGGGGGCTGAGGAAGTTCTCAAGGCCCATGAGGAACAGCTTAAGGAGGCCCAGGCTGTGCCTTCCACCCTCCCAGAGCTCGAGGCCACCAAGGCTGCACTAAAGGTACTGTGCCAGGGTTTGTGCCTCACCAGGGGCAGGGAGATAGCGGGGGGCCCCAGCTGAAGCAGCACCCACCCCTCTTGTGCCCAGCAGAAGCTACGGACCCAGGCAGAGGCTCAGCAGCCTGTGTTTGATGCCCTGAGGGATGAGCTGCGAGGGGCGCAGGAAGTGGGTGAGCGGCTGCAGCAGCGGCATGGTGAGCGGGACGTGGAAGTGGAGCGCTGGCGTGAGCGGGTCACCCAGCTGCTAGAGCGCTGGCAGGCAGTGCTGGCCCAGACTGACGTGCGGCAGCGTGAGCTGGAACAGCTGGGCCGCCAGCTGCGCTACTATCGTGAGAGTGCAGACCCACTGAGCGCCTGGCTGCAGGATGCTAAGCGGCGGCAGGAGCAGATCCAGGCTGTGCCGATGGCAAACATTCAGGCTGTGCGAGAGCAACTGCGTCAGGAGAAGGTAGGCCAGGGTCTGGGAGAGGCAGGCGGTAGGGTGTGTCCTGTAGCTGTCTGTGCTGACCACCAACCCCTTTCAGGCCCTGCTGGAGGAGATTGAGCGCCACGGTGAGAAGGTTGAGGAGTGCCAGAGGTTCGCCAAGCAGTACATCAATGCCATTAAGGTGAGGCCTCCAGCCATCTCCACCAAGACCCCCATCCCAGGACACGCTGGCCAGGCTGGTAGACCTGGGGCTCTGGACTTGAGCCTGGGCCGTGCTGGGAAACCCTATAGATTGGTGTGGGGGCAGGCATAGGCAATGAGGGCAGAGCAGATGGCCAACCATACCATGCCTCCCATAGGACTATGAGCTCCAGCTGGTCACATACAAGGCACAGCTTGAACCAGTGGCCTCCCCAGCCAAGAAGCCCAAGGTCCAGTCTGGATCAGAGAGTGTCATCCAGGAGGTAGGATGGGGGCAGGCCAAGACTAACCTAGATGAGGACTGGGTGGGCCTTAGGGTTGGGCAGAGCTGACTGCTGTTGCCCTTCCTCCTCAGTATGTGGACCTGCGGACACGCTACAGTGAGCTGACCACGCTTACTGGTCAGTACATCAAGTTCGTCAGTGAGACGTTGCGGCGCATGGAGGAGGAGGAGGTATGGCTGGGGCTGTGTGGGCTGGGTGGGGAGGGCCCTCCTGCCCCTGTCCTGCCCCGGATACAGCTCACAGAAACTGTCTGAGCCCACTTAGGGCAGCTGTCCTCACTCCCCTCCTGCCTGATGCCACCCAGTGCCCCCTTCCCCTAGCTCGGCTGCCCTCACCCAGGTCCCACCTTGGCCTGGCCTGTGCTGCTCTCCACGGTGGCTGGCGCCTCCCTTCTCCTTCACTGGCAGCTGTCCCCACCTGCATCTGTCGGCTCTCCCGTGCATTCCCCCTGGGCACTCTGCACTGGTTCCACTTGGCCCTTTGTTCTGGGAACAGTCAGGGGACATTAGGTCATGGGGGCTTGGGAGGTGTCTCTCAAGGTGCCTTGTCTGAGCAGGGTGTTCACTGTCCAGTTCCTCCCCACCTCCCAGGTGACCCAGCTGTTGGGCCCGCCTGTGGCCCTACCTCCTCTTGGCTCGGGTCTGCTGGTTTGAGAATCCCTTTTTTTTAACTGCCTCTGTCCATACTACTGTCTTTACTCTGGCTCCCTCACCCTGACCACCTCACCCTGACCCACCCCACTGGGCTTTGGGAATGGCCTCTTGTTGGGGAGCGGGGCCCTATGGTGGCAGCCAGGCTCTGCCAGCGTCAGGTAGATCTCAGGCAGGACTGTGTGGTGGGTGCGGCTTGCAGGTTCTGCGAGCCTCCTGCTTTGCTCTTTCTCTCTCTCCCTGTCCGTCTGTCTCCGTCGCCTATCTGCGGGAAGAGGGGAGGACGCCTGGGCCTCCTTCCCCAGGCTGGTGAGCACGGTGGGGCTGGCTGCGCTCGCTGCCCGAGTGCCCTGGGCGGGTGCACGCTATCTCCTTGGCTGGGCTGGGACCTCTGTCCTCCCTGATTCCCCCGCACCGCGCTGTCCAAGTGAACTGTGGTGGTATCGTGTCACGTGAGTGCCCGCACCCACCCCACGCTCACGCTGTCTCTGGTTCTCTTCCTCTCTCTGCTGTGGCCACAGAGGCTGGCCGAGCAACAGCGGGCAGAGGAGCGGGAGCGACTGGCTGAGGTGGAGGCCGCATTGGAGAAGCAGCGGCAGCTGGCTGAGGCGCATGCCCAGGCCAAGGCACAGGCGGAGCTGGAGGCACAAGAACTACAGCGGCGCATGCAGGAGGAGGTCGCGCGGCGGGAGGAGGCTGCAGTGGATGCACAGCAGCAGAAGCGTAGTGTCCAAGAGGAGCTGCAGCATCTGCGACAGAGCTCAGAGGCAGAGCTGCAGGCCAAGGCCAGGCAAGTGGAAGCAGCTGAACGCAGCCGACTGCGCATCGAGGAGGAGATCCGTGTGGTGCGCCTGCAGCTGGAGACGACTGAGCGCCAGCGCAGCGGGGCTGAGGATGAGCTGCAGGCCCTGCGTGCACGAGCAGAGGAGGCGGAAGCACAGAAGCGGCAGGCACAGGAGGAGGCTGAGCGCTTGCGGAGGCAGGTGCAGGATGAGAGCCAGCGTAAGCGGCAAGCCGAGGCAGAACTCGCCCTGCGCGTCAAGGCTGAGGCCGAGGCTGCTCGCGAGAAGCAGCGGGCCATGCAGGCTCTGGAGGAGCTGCGACTGCAGGCCGAAGAGGCAGAGAGGCAGCTGCGGCAGGCTGAGGCAGAGCGGGCACGCCAAGTACAGGTAGCTCTGGAGACAGCGCAGCGCAGCGCAGAGGTGGAGCTGCAGAGCAAGCGTGCTTCCTTCGCGGAGAAGACTGCGCAGTTGGAGCGCACCCTGCAGGAGGAGCATGTGGCGGTGGCACAGCTGCGGGAAGAGGCTGAACGGCGGGCACAGCAACAGGCTGAGGCCGAGCGGGCCCGTGAGGAAGCCGAACGGGAGCTAGAGCGCTGGCAGCTGAAAGCCAATGAGGCACTGCGACTGCGACTGCAGGCAGAGGAGGTGGCACAGCAGAAGAGCCTGGCGCAGGCCGAAGCTGAGAAGCAGAAAGAGGAAGCAGAGCGCGAGGCTCGGCGGCGCGGCAAGGCGGAGGAGCAGGCCGTGCGGCAGCGGGAGCTGGCTGAGGAGGAGCTGGAGAAACAGCGACAGCTGGCAGAAGGGACCGCGCAGCAGCGCCTGGCTGCGGAGCAGGAGCTGATCCGCCTGCGGGCCGAGACAGAGCAGGGCGAGCAGCAGCGGCAGCTGCTGGAGGAAGAGCTGGCCCGGCTGCAGCGAGAGGCGGCTGAGGCCAACCAGAAGCGCCAGGAGCTGGAAGCTGAGCTGGCCAAGGTGCGGGCAGAGATGGAGGTGCTGCTGGCCAGCAAGGCTCGAGCCGAGGAGGAATCTCGGAACACCAGCGAGAAGTCCAAGCAGAGACTGGAGGCAGAGGCCGGCCGCTTCCGTGAGCTGGCCGAGGAGGCTGCTCGCCTGCGGGCCCTGGCCGAGGAGGCTAAGCGGCAGCGGCAGCTGGCCGAGGAGGACGCAGCACGCCAGCGGGCCGAGGCCGAGCGGGTGCTTGCTGAGAAGCTGGCCGCCATCGGCGAGGCCACGAGGCTCAAGACAGAGGCGGAGATAGCGCTCAAGGAGAAGGAAGCCGAGAACGAGCGCCTGCGGAGGCTGGCTGAAGACGAGGCTTTCCAGCGGCGGCGGCTGGAGGAGCAGGCAGCGCAGCACAAGGCCGACATCGAGGAGCGCCTGGCTCAGCTGCGCAAGGCATCAGAGAGCGAGCTGGAGAGGCAGAAGGGGCTGGTGGAGGACACAGTGCGCCAGAGGCGGCAGGTGGAAGAGGAGATCCGGGCCCTGAAGGTGAGCTTTGAGAAGGCAGCTGCTGGCAAGGCGGAGCTGGAGCTGGAGCTGGGGCGGATCCGTAGCAACGCGGAGGACACGCTGCGCAGCAAGGAGCAGGCAGAGCTGGAGGCTGCTCGGCAGCGGCAGTTGGCAGCTGAGGAGGAGCAGCGGCGCCGTGAGGCTGAGGAGCGCGTGCAGAAAAGCCTGGCGGCTGAGGAAGAGGCCACACGGCAGCGCAAAGCCGCCCTGGAGGAAGTAGAGCGGCTCAAGGCCAAGGTGGAAGAGGCCCGGCGCCTGAGGGAGCGAGCAGAACAGGAGTCGGCGCGGCAACTGCAGCTGGCCCAAGAGGCTGCCCAGAAGCGGCTGCAGGCCGAGGAGAAGGCCCATGCCTTTGTGGTGCAGCAGCGTGAGCAGGAGCTGCAGCAGACACTGCAGCAGGAGCAGAGTGTGCTGGAGCGACTGCGCGGCGAGGCAGAGGCCGCCCGGCGAGCCGCTGAGGAGGCTGAGGAGGCCCGGGAGCAGGCTGAGCGGGAGGCCGCGCAGTCCCGGCGGCAAGTAGAAGAGGCTGAGCGGCTCAAGCAGTCTGCAGAGGAGCAGGCGCAGGTCCGGGCTCAGGCACAGGCTGCTGCGGAGAAGCTGCGCAAGGAAGCCGAGCAGGAGGCAGCACGACGGGCACAGGCGGAACAGGCAGCCTTGCGCCAGAAGCAGGCGGCTGACGCAGAGATGGAGAAGCATAAGAAGTTTGCAGAGCAGACGCTGAGGCAGAAGGCCCAGGTGGAACAGGAGCTGACGACCCTGCGGCTACAGCTAGAGGAGACGGACCATCAAAAGAGCATCCTTGATGAGGAGCTGCAGCGGCTGAAGGCGGAGGTGACAGAGGCAGCCCGCCAGCGCAGCCAGGTGGAGGAGGAGCTCTTCTCTGTGCGCGTGCAGATGGAAGAGCTGGGGAAGCTCAAGGCCCGGATCGAGGCCGAGAACCGCGCGCTCATCCTGCGTGACAAGGACAACACACAGCGCTTCCTGGAAGAGGAGGCGGAGAAGATGAAGCAGGTGGCGGAAGAGGCTGCACGGCTGAGTGTGGCGGCCCAGGAGGCAGCACGCCTGCGGCAGCTGGCAGAAGAAGACTTGGCACAGCAGCGGGTCCTGGCAGAGAAAATGCTCAAGGAGAAGATGCAGGCTGTGCAGGAGGCCACCCGGCTCAAGGCTGAGGCTGAGCTGCTGCAGCAACAGAAAGAGCTGGCTCAGGAGCAGGCTCGACGGCTGCAGGAGGACAAGGAGCAGATGGCTCAGCAGCTGGCACAGGAGACACAGGGTTTCCAGCGGACACTGGAGGCGGAGCGGCAGCGGCAGCTGGAGATGAGTGCAGAGGCTGAGCGCCTGAAGCTGCGCGTGGCCGAGATGAGCCGGGCCCAGGCCCGTGCCGAGGAGGATGCCCAGCGCTTTCGGAAGCAGGCTGAGGAGATTGGTGAGAAGCTGCACCTCACTGAGCTCGCCACACAGGAGAAGGTGACGCTGGTACAGACACTTGAGATCCAGCGGCAGCAGAGTGACCATGATGCTGAGCGCCTGCGGGAGGCCATTGCTGAGCTGGAGCGTGAGAAGGAGAAACTGAAGCAGGAGGCCAAGTTGCTGCAGCTCAAGTCCGAGGAGGTACCACCCTCCCTCCACAGATGGGCAGGCGGGGGGTGGGGTGTGTCCTTGGGAGGGTAAGGGTGCTCCCAGGGCCCCGCCGTCCCTGACTGCTGCCTCCCCGCTCCTTGCCTCTTGCAGATGCAGACAGTACAGCAAGAGCAGAGGCTCCAGGAGACACAGGCCTTGCAGCAGAGCTTTCTGTCCGAGAAGGACAGCCTGCTGCAGCGGGAGCGCTTCATTGAGCAGGAAAAGGCTAAGCTAGAACAGCTTTTCCAGGACGAGGTGGCGAAGGCACAGCAGCTCCGTGAGGAGCAGCAGCGGCAGCAGCAGCAGATGGAGCAGGAGAAGCAGCAGCTGATGGCCAGCATGGAGGAGGCCCGGCGTCGGCAGCGTGAGGCAGAAGAAGGTGTGCGTCGCAAGCAGGAGGAGCTGCAGCACCTGGAGGAGCAGCGGCAGAAGCAGGAGAAGCTGCTGGCTGAGGAGAACCAGAGGCTGCGGGAACGGCTGCAGCGCTTAGAGGAGGAGCATCGGGCGGCACTAGCACACTCGGAGGAGATTGCTGCCACGAAGGCCTTGCCCAATGGCCGGGAGGCACCTGATGGCCCAACTGTGGAGGTGGAGCCTGAGCACAGCTTTGAGGGTTTGCGACAGAGAGTGCCAGCCCAGCGGCTGCAGGAGGCTGGCATCCTGAGCCCAGAGGAGCTGCAGCGGCTGGTGCAGGGCCACACCACGGTGGCCGAGCTTGCGCAGCGTAGGGATGTGCAACAATACCTGCAGGGCCGCAGCAGCATTGCCGGGCTGCTGCTGAAGCCCACCAATGAGAAGGTGAGTGTCTACACGGCCCTGCGGAGGCAGCTGCTAAGCCCTGGCACCGCTCTCATCCTGCTTGAGGCCCAGGCAGCCTCAGGCTTCTTGCTGGACCCTGTGCGGAATCGACGACTGACTGTGAATGAGGCCGTGAAGGAGGGTGTTGTGGGCCCTGAGCTGCACCACAAGTTGCTGTCTGCTGAGCGGGCTGTCACTGGCTATAAAGACCCCTACACTGGAGAGCAGATCTCGCTCTTCCAGGCCATGAAGAAGGACCTCATCGTCAGGGACCACGGCATCCGCCTGCTGGAGGCCCAGATCGCCACGGGCGGCATCATTGATCCCGTGCACAGCCACCGCGTGCCCGTGGAGGTGGCCTACCAGCGCGGCTACTTTGACGAGGAGATGAGCCGCGTGCTGGCGGACCCGAGCGACGACACCAAGGGCTTCTTCGACCCCAACACCCACGAGAACCTCACCTACCTGCAGCTGCTGGAGCGCTGTGTGGAGGACCCCGAGACGGGCCTGCGCCTCCTGCCACTCACAGATAAGGCTGCCAAGGGTGGTGAGCTGGTGTATACTGACTCTGAGGCCCGGGATGTCTTTGAGAAGGCCACTGTGTCTGCACCATTCGGCAAATTCCAGGGCAAGACGGTGACCATCTGGGAGATCATCAATTCAGAATACTTCACAGCGGAGCAGCGGCGTGACCTGCTGCGGCAGTTCCGCACGGGCCGCATCACAGTGGAGAAGATCATCAAGATTGTCATCACTGTCGTAGAGGAGCACGAGCAGAAGAGCCAGCTCTGCTTTGAGGGCCTGCGTGCCCTGGTGCCTGCTGCCGAACTGCTGGAAAGTGGGATCATCGACCATGACCTCTACCGTCAGCTGCAGCGGGGCGAGCGCTCTGTAAGAGAGGTGGCTGAGGCGGACTCTGTGCGGAGGGCCCTGCGGGGTGCCAGTGTCATTGCAGGTGTGTGGCTGGAGGAGGCAGGACAGAAGCTGAGTATCTATGAGGCCCTGAAGAAAGACCTACTGCAGCCAGATGTGGCTCTGGCCCTGTTAGAGGCCCAGGCCGGCACTGGGCACATCATTGATCCTGCCACTAGTGCCCGGCTGACTGTGGATGAGGCAGTACGTGCTGGTCTGGTGGGCCCTGAGCTTCATGAGAAGCTGCTGTCGGCTGAGAAGGCTGTGACGGGCTATAGGGACCCCTATTCGGGGCAGATTGCCTCCTTGTTCCAGGCTCTGAAGAAAGGCCTCATCCCTCGGGAGCAAGGCCTGCGCCTGCTAGATGCCCAGCTGTCCACAGGTGGCATTGTGGACCCCAGCAAGAGCCACCGCGTGTCCCTGGATGTTGCATATACCCGGGGCCATCTGGACAAGGAGACCAGCAGGGCCCTGTTGGAACCCGGGGAGGATGCCAAGGTCTACCTTGATCCCAGCACACGGGAGCCAGTCACCTATGGCCAGCTCCAGCAGCGGTGCCGGCCTGACCAGCTGACTGGGCTGAGCCTGCTGCCACTCTCAGAGAAGGCTGCCCGGGCCCAGCAGGAGGAGGTCTACTCTGAGCTTCAGGCCCGTGAGACCTTGGAGAAGGCTACGGTTGAAGTCCCCACGGGCAGCTTCAAAGGCAGGACAGTGACAGTGTGGGAGCTCATCAGCTCTGAGTATTTCACAGAGGAGCAGCGGCAGGAGCTGCTGCGGCAGCTCCGTACTGGCAAGGTGACTGTGGAGAAGGTCATTAAGATCCTCATCACCATCATCGAGGAGGTAGAGACCAAGAGGCAGGAGCAACTGTCCTTCACTGGCCTCCGTGCCCCTGTGCCAGCCAGTGAGCTCTTGGCTGCCAGGATCCTCAGCAGGGCCCAGTTTGAGCAGCTCAAGGATGGCAGGACCTCTGTCAAGGATCTCTTGGAGGTGGGCTCCGTGCGGACGCTGCTACAGGGCAGTGGCTGCCTGGCTGGTATCTACCTGGAGGACTCCAAGGAGAAAGTGACCATCTACGAGGCCATGCGCCGGGGTTTGCTCAGACCTAGCACGGCCACGCTCCTGCTCGAGGCCCAAGCAGCCACTGGCTTTCTGGTGGACCCGGTGCGGAACCAGCGCCTGTACGTCCATGAGGCAGTGAAAGCAGGTGTTGTGGGCCCTGAGCTACATGAGAAGCTGCTGTCCGCCGAGAAGGCCGTCACCGGCTACAAGGACCCCTACTCGGGCACCACCATCTCGCTCTTCCAGGCCATGAAGAAGGGCCTGGTTCTCAGGGAGCATGCCATCCGCCTGCTGGAGGCCCAGATTGCTACCGGAGGCGTCATCGACCCCGTGCACAGCCACCGCCTGCCCGTGGAGGTGGCCTACCAGCGCGGCTACTTTGACGAGGAGATGAGCCGCGTGCTGGCGGACCCCAGCGACGACACCAAGGGCTTCTTCGACCCCAACACCCACGAGAACCTCACCTACCTGCAGCTGCTGGAGCGCTGTGTGGAGGACCCCGAGACTGGCCTGCGCCTCCTGCCACTGAAGGGGGCAGAGAAGGCTGAAGTGGTGGAGACCACACAGGTGTATACTGAGGAGGAGACCCGGAGGGCATTCGAGGAGACTCAGATTGACATCCCTGGTGGTGGCAGTCACGGTGGCTCCACCATGTCCCTATGGGAGGTCATGCAGTCAGACCTGATCCCTGAGGATCAGCGGGCCCGGCTGATGGCTGACTTCCAGGCTGGCCGGGTGACCAAGGAGCGCATGATCATTATCATCATCGAGATCATTGAGAAGACCGAGATCATCCGACAGCAAAACCTTACTTCCTATGACTATGTGCGCCGCCGCCTCACTGCTGAGGACCTGTATGAGGCCCGGATCATCTCGCTTGAGACCTACAACCTCCTCCGGGAGGGCACCAAGAGCCTCCGTGAAGTACTGGAGGCAGAGTCTGCCTGGCGCTACCTCTATGGCACAGGCTCGGTGGCTGGCGTTTACCTGCCTGGCTCTAGGCAGACGCTGACCATCTACCAGGCCCTCAAGAAGGGGCTGCTAAGTGCCGAGGTGGCCCGCTTGCTGCTGGAGGCCCAGGCGGCCACCGGCTTCTTGCTGGACCCAGTGAAGGGTGAGCGACTGACTGTGGATGAGGCTGTACGGAAGGGACTGGTGGGCCCTGAGCTGCATGACCGGCTGCTCTCAGCAGAGCGGGCGGTGACTGGCTACCGTGACCCTTACACCGAGCAGACCATCTCGCTCTTCCAGGCCATGAAGAAGGAGCTGATCCCTGCTGAGGAGGCCCTGCGGCTGCTGGATGCCCAACTGGCTACAGGAGGTATTGTGGACCCCCGCCTGGGCTTCCATCTACCGTTGGAGGTAGCCTACCAGCGTGGCTACCTCAACAAGGACACACACGACCAGCTGTCGGAGCCCAGCGAGGTGCGCAGCTACGTGGACCCCTCCACCGATGAGCGCCTCAGCTACACGCAACTGCTCAGGCGGTGTCGCCGTGACGAGAGCAGCGGCCAGATGCTCCTGCCACTCTCAGACGCCCGCAAACTGACCTTCCGTGGCCTACGCAAGCAGATCACCGTGGAGGAACTGGTGCGCTCACAGGTCATGGATGAAGCCACAGCACTGCAGCTGCAGGAGGGCCTGACCTCCATTGAGGAGGTCACCAAGAACCTGCAGAAGTTCCTTGAGGGCACCAGTTGCATTGCCGGTGTCTTCGTTGATGCCACCAAGGAGCGACTCTCAGTGTACCAGGCCATGAAGAAGGGCATCATTCGCCCTGGCACGGCCTTTGAGCTCCTGGAGGCACAGGCGGCCACTGGCTACGTCATCGACCCCATCAAGGGGCTCAAGCTGACTGTGGAGGAAGCTGTGCGCATGGGCATCGTGGGCCCTGAGTTCAAGGACAAGCTGCTGTCGGCTGAGCGTGCCGTCACCGGCTACAAGGACCCTTACTCTGGGAAGCTCATCTCTCTCTTCCAAGCCATGAAGAAGGGCCTGATCCTGAAGGACCATGGCATCCGTTTGTTGGAGGCCCAGATTGCCACAGGTGGCATCATCGACCCTGAGGAGAGTCATCGGCTACCTGTGGAGGTGGCCTACAAGCGTGGCCTCTTTGATGAGGAGATGAATGAGATCCTGACTGACCCTTCGGATGATACCAAGGGCTTCTTTGACCCCAACACAGAGGAGAATCTCACCTACTTGCAGCTGATGGAACGCTGCATCACTGACCCCCAGACAGGCCTGTGCCTCCTGCCGCTGAAGGAGAAAAAGAGAGAGCGGAAGACATCCTCCAAGTCCTCGGTGCGCAAGCGCCGCGTTGTGATTGTGGACCCTGAGACGGGCAAGGAGATGTCAGTGTATGAGGCCTACCGCAAGGGACTCATTGACCACCAGACGTACTTGGAGCTGTCTGAGCAGGAGTGTGAGTGGGAGGAGATTACTATTTCCTCCTCAGATGGTGTAGTCAAGTCCATGATCATTGACCGCCGCTCAGGCCGCCAGTATGACATCGATGATGCCATCACCAAGAACCTCATTGACCGGTCAGCACTGGACCAGTACCGTGCCGGCACACTCTCCATCACTGAGTTTGCTGACATGCTCTCAGGCAATGCCGGTGGCTTCCGATCCCGCTCCTCCTCGGTGGGCTCATCTTCCTCCTACCCCATCAGCCCTGCAGTCTCCAGGACCCAGCTGGCCTCCTGGTCCGACCCCACTGAGGAGACAGGCCCAGTGGCTGGCATCCTGGACACAGAGACGCTGGAGAAGGTGTCCATCACAGAGGCCATGCACCGCAACCTAGTGGACAACATCACCGGGCAGCGGCTGCTGGAGGCCCAGGCATGCACTGGGGGCATTATTGACCCCAGCACTGGGGAGCGCTTCCCTGTTACTGAGGCTGTCAACAAAGGCCTAGTAGACAAGATCATGGTGGACCGCATCAACCTCGCCCAAAAGGCCTTCTGTGGCTTTGAGGACCCACGCACCAAGACCAAGATGTCAGCTGCCCAGGCCCTGAAGAAGGGCTGGTTGTACTACGAGGCAGGCCAGCGCTTCCTGGAGGTGCAGTACCTGACAGGTGGCCTGATTGAGCCCGACATGCCGGGCCGAGTGCCTCTGGACGAGGCCCTGCAGCGTGGCACTGTGGACGCCCGCACAGCGCAGAAGCTGCGCGATGTCAGCGCGTACTCCAAGTACCTCACCTGCCCTAAGACCAAGCTCAAGATCTCCTACAAGGACGCGCTGGACCGCAGCATGGTGGAGGAGGGCACAGGGCTGCGGCTGCTGGAGGCTTCTGCCCAGTCCAGCAAGGGCTACTACAGCCCCTACAGCGTCAGCGGCTCTGGCTCCACTGCTGGCTCGCGTACCGGCTCGCGCACCGGCTCCCGGGCTGGCTCCCGCCGCGGCAGCTTCGATGCCACCGGTTCTGGTTTCTCCATGACCTTCTCTTCCTCCTCCTACTCTTCCTCGGGCTATGGCCGCCGCTATGCCTCAGGCCCCTCCACCTCCCTGGGGGGCCCTGAGTCTGCAGTGGCCTGACCTTCTGCCTGCATCCCACCCTCCTGCTCTGCATGTGGCCAGGCTCCCCGCCAAGGTGCTGGGGTCTTTCTTTAATGTTTAAAGGTGTCTTTTTCCCAAGTGGTGCCTAAAGTTTAACCAAAAAGACCAGACTAACACATTAATATATATTTGCTGTCTAGACAGACTGTAACTTGGGGTTTGGGGCCGGCCCAGCCCCGCTGACCACCTCACCCCCCTCGGATCTCCCCACTTCAACCTGCCACTCACAATAGCCAGGTGCCTTGGAGGGTCCAGAGTTGGGCCCCCAGCCCACCCCTCCTCCCATAGGAGGTTTCTGTCTGGGTGAGACCCCCAGCCCTGTAAGCCAACCCCACTGGTGTGTACATCTGCTAGTCCTAGCTGCTGAGGGCAGCCGGGGTCAGTCTTGTCAGTAGAGATTCTCTCAGGGCTTCTACCCTGGGCCAGCATTTTCTTCCCAGCGTGTTTCCCAGACTGGCCTTCTTGCTTGGTGGATCTTGCTGGTGAGGAAAGGGTCCTGGGCCAGCCATCTCTTCAGCGTGCCCATAGAAGCCCTTTCCTCATGGGAAGATGAGGGTCCAGTCTGCAGAGGCAGCGTCCTTAGCTGGGCTCTAGCCTCCTGCCCAGCTCCTGAAGCTGCTGTCAGAGCTCTGCTTTGTAGCTCACTGCCCCACCCTGAGTCACTCCCAAGACCCTGGCCCGTGGCTTCAGCCTTCCAGCCTCAGCTCCCCCTGTAAGTGCCTTCTGTGTCCTCCCTCATACCCAGCCCTGAGGACCCATGCCCAGGGTGTGAGACAGACATTCTGGCTGGGCGGGGCTGGGGTTCTGCACATCTACCCTCCGCCATGGGCTGAGTGGTATCTTGAGCCCGTGGAACCCCTCCCTGGGTGCTGCCTGTCCACTCTGTTTCCAGGGAGCCCCAACCCTCCTTGGTCCAGGATACAGACTGGCTCTATCGACCCAGGCACCTGGCCAGTGCCACCACCCTGTTTAGCCAGCCTCATGCATTGGCAGCTCCCACCCCTGCCTCCACCCTCTGACTGAGCTTTGCATGTTCCACTAACCTGGGCTGGTGGCCGGTGGAGGTGCCAGGCAGAACACTAACCTGACCATGGGCAGGGCCCTTCAGCGTCTGCCCCTCAATAAAAGCAATTCCAACCTTCCTATGGACTTTGCCTTGGTTTTTGGTGCTGGTCTCAGCCATGTGTTGGGAATAGGGTAGATAACTACCGCTCCAGGATCCAGGCTCTCATCTTAGCCGTATTTTGGCCATGATGGAGCTGTGGGACCTGTGAAGACACTGCTTGAGGCTAGATGTCCGCGGGCAAGAAAACCCAGATGGTAGCTGGAGAGCAGTGTGGCCCTGAGCAGTGGGTAAGGTCTGACCCCACCGAGGAGACAGGCCCAGTGGCCAGCATCCTGGACACAGAGAAGGTGTCCATCACAGCGGGCGTGCACCGCAACCTGGTGGACAACATCATCACCAGGCAGTGGCTGCTGGAGACCCAGAATAGGACCACAATGAGATGGGTTGGCTGAGACCTGCTGTTGGTCCAGGCAGTGACCTGTCCGCCAGCCCACCCCTTTTGCTGGGCCTGTGGTTGGCACTTGCGGTTCTTCTGGGGTGGGCTCTTAACACCTGTGTCAGTCAGAACATTTAAAGGTGATTTCCTCCAAGGGGTGTCTAAAGTTTAACCCCAAAGACCAACACATTAATGTATATTTGCTATCCAGACACACCTTATTTTGAGGGACAGGGGAGCAGTGTGAACCCTGTGTAAGTTGGCCAAGGTCAGCTCTCAGAGGAGGTGAGCCTCAGCAGCTGCTGGGGGACCAAGTACTGCCAGCCTCCACCGCAGTCTGTGCCTCACCACTCCTCAGGCCCAGGGCATTAAGTCCTGGACTTGAGATGCACTAGGATTCAGATGGGTTACAGTTTCTGGGAAGACTTGTGAGAAGCAGGTGAGCGGGCACATCTACCACTGCCCTGGGGCCATGACTGGTACCTCCCTCCTTTGTGTCCGTTGCAGGGAGATGCAGCCCTTCACTCCTGATGGTCTTGAGTCCTGGTCACCATGCACTTGTTGGGCTCTGCTCTCCCTACTTACTGTTGATCAGGGTTGTCCGTCCAGTTGACAGCTCCCTGACCTGCTGGTTGGGTGGAACAGGAACTCTTGATGTGCTGTGGTGAGAAGAGCTGGGTCTGCTTGGGAAGAGGGCACAGGGTCATCAGCCCTATGGCCACTGTGGTTGCATCTCCTGGCCGAGGCATAGTCAGCAATCCATATTTCAGCCTGCCCTTCAGGTGCTGGCTGCCCATTAGGGTTTGAGAACCACCGTTGCAAAGTCTCCTGCTGGCTGAGGAATATGGTCCCACAAGCCGTCTGCTTACATTCTTGTGGATCAGGTCCCCCCAGCTGCTCTGTGTACCCTACTGCCCTTTAGGGTACACAGTCTGCATGCAGGCACATTTCAATGCTGTCATTGCGTTGCTATAGATGCTGGGACCAACAACATTCACCTGGGGGTTCCCTTCAGCCGGTGGGTGTCCCGACTTCATTTCCCCTCTAAGGAGTATGCTTCCTGAGCAACACCAGGCCCCTCTGACTTAGGCCAGCTCCCTGAGATGGTGATTCAAGTGCCATGGCTTCTATGGGGAGCACCACAGGAAGGGTGTGGGGGCTGGCAATGATGTGTACTCCCCTGAGCCTCGCTGTAGCCTAACCCACAGCTCGCAGGAGCAGCGTTCCACCTCAGAGGCTGTCCTATCCAGAGACTGATCTGGGCTGATATGTGCCACATCAGGCAGCCATTGGCTGCAGGCTGCCTCTGGAGACAGGCAACTGACCCCCCCGGGCATCTCTGGATGAGGCAACTCTTATCAGCCAAGGGCAGTGCTCTAGAAGAGGGTGCATGCTAGTGTCCAGCATCTGGGGATGGACACACTGAACCCCAGTGGAGTTGAGTGGATGGTCAGCAGCACCTGCTTTCACAGTGAGAATTCCATGGGCATAGTGGTGTGATGGGGCTAGCCCGAGTATACTCCCTCTGTACCCCTAGGTAGAACCTAATGGATGTCCTCTCAGGTTCATTCTGGAAGTCACAAAGAAGAGAAGGAAATCCTTGGGGTGCAAATTAAGCAGAGTGGGGCTGATGTTTCCCCCAAGGAAGCTGCTGATCCTGGAACCTAAAGCCCTGGGTTCTAACAGATCCTCAGGAGCAGCAAGTGAGGACTTGGACCTGGATAAGCCTCTGCTTGTGATAACACTACAAAATGTAGACTCCTAACCACTGGCATATGGGGATAGAAAGTGTGCTGGATTCTCTCTGGGTCTGCTCCTTCAACCAGGCATTTATAATCTCAGGGGGACCAAGAGTTGTCCTGGAAGCACTCTCCTTAGAGGCAGTTGGAGTCAGGATGCCCACCACTGCCTGAAAATAAGGAGCTCATCTCTGGGGGCTTCCCCCTACATGGTCTGGAGAGCCCTATGCAGAGAAATTAAGTCAACAAAGACCCAGATTGGTTTTTGGCCTAGTATCTGAGATGAGCCTCTAAAATCTTATCTGGAGGACTTGCCCCCTGCCCAAACCTCACAGGATTCCAGAGGTAAAACTTGGGCTTTCAAATATGATCTCACAATCCAAAATTATAGGACACGTGGAAACAAGCATGGTGAACAAGTCAGCATAAACAAAAGCAGAACTTGAAGGACTGGTGCTTTGGGTGCATTGGAAGTATTCAATAAAGAATGTATAGTGAGTATATGTGAAATAAAGAAGACTCAGAATGTGAGAAGTAAGGTTTTGTCCAGAAGAACCAAGGTTCATACAGGAATTTAATAGAACTTTAAGAAGCGAAACATACAATGACAACATTCAAAATCTCAGTGGGAAGCGAGGTGTGGTTGCACACACTTGTGATTCCCATCTGGTCTGGAGGATTGCGATTCCCATGGCCAACCCGAGCAATTTAGCCAGACTCTGCTTAAACAATAGGTGGTCATAGTCAAAGAATTAGTGAATTGGAGGATAGATCTAAAGGAATCACTCAGAATTCACCCCAGGGAAAGAAGAGGGTGGAAAACATGGGTAAGAGGCAGAGGTCATATGACAAAACAGTCTAACATCTAATTGAAGGTCCAGTGGAAGATCCTGGAGGAAAGATGGAGAGATTTGCTTTTAATAAATAATAGCTGGGGGCTGAGGCTGGGGCTCAGCGGTAGAGCACTCTTCTTCCATGTGTGAGGCCCTGAGTTTGATCCTCAGCACCACATAAATAAAATAAAAAGGTATTATGTCCACCTACAACTAAAATAATAAAAATAATAATTATTATTATCATTAGTAGTAGTAGTAGTAAATAAATAATAGCTGAGGCTGGATGCAGTAGCGCACACCTGTAATCCCAATGGCTGGGGAGGCTGAGGTAGAGGATTGTGAGTTCAAAGCCAGCCTCAGCAAAAGTAAGCAACTCAGTGAGACCCTGTCTCTAAATAAAATACAAAATAGGACTGCGGATGTGGCTGCATGGTTGAGTGCTCCTGAGTTCAATTCCTGGTTCCCAGAAAACAAACAAATAAATAATAGCTGATAATTATTTTCCAAGTAGATGGAAAACATGAATCATTACCTGACAACAGTATGACCCAAGTACAGCAAATAAAACATCTGCATCAAAACACATTATAATAGAACTGCAGAAAAACAGAGCAGAATCCTAAAGCAGCCAGAAGAAAAGGCAGACTGCTGCTGAGGGAAGACAGCAGATCTCCCCGGCAAGCAGGGGTCCTCCAAGTGGCTCTGTGGGCCGGGAGCTTGGTCCCAACCCTGGAGCTTATGGAGACACAGTCTCTTGCGCCTCACTGGACCCACTAAATGGTAATCTGATTTTTTTCTTTTTCTTCTTCTTTTTTTTTGGTCATCTGGAGATAGGGTTGCACACTGTTTCCCACTCTGGCCTCAAAACTCCTGGGCTCAAGCATCCTCCTGAGTAGCTGAGACTACAGGTGCCCATCTACCATGCCTGGATAGAATCTGCATTTTAACAAGATCCCACATGAATGTTATTTTTTTATTATTATTTTTAATATTTATTTTTTAGTTGTAGTTGGACACAACACCTTTATTTCACTTATTTATTTTTTATGTGGTGCTGAGGATCGAACCCAGGGTCCTGCACATGCGAGGCCGGTGCTCTACCGCTGAGCCACAACCCCAGCCCCATACATGAATGTTATTTTAAAACAAACTTTGATTATTTTCAGTACTGGGGATTAAAGCCAGAGCCCGGCATACATGCTACATATGACTCTACCAATGAACCACATCCCTGACCCTAACAGACTTTTCTAAGGGTCTAAAGAAACACCTCTCTCTAAAGAATAATAATGATGGGCTGGGGGTGTAGCTCAGTGGTAGAGCACTTGCCTAGCATGTGTGAGGCCCTGGGTTCAATCCTCAGACCACATAAAAAATAAATAATAAATAAAGGTATTGTGTTTACCACTAAAACAAAACAAAAAAAAAAAAAAAGATTTTTTTTTTTTTTTTTTTTTGGTGCTGGGGATGGAACCCCAGGCTTCAGGTATGGTAAGAATATGCTTTACCACTGAGTTACACGAACCCCCAATCCAGATGTATTTTTTTGTTGTTGTTGTTATATACTTATCTTAGTCTATTCCTGCTGCTATAAAAAAATGCCACAGTCTCAATGATTTTTAAACAAGTATAAATTTATTTTTCACAGTTTTGGAGGCTGTGAAGTTCAAGGTTGAGATGCTGGCAGGTTCAGTGACTGGTGAGGACCTATTCTGTCAGTAGGGTCTTCTTGTGGCAGTATCCTCATGTGGCCGGAAGGGCTAGGGGCTAAGGACTGCTGTTTCCTCATGTGGAAAGGCAAGAAGAGCCTGGCTGTTCTCCTTCAGCCTTTCGTAAGGTCCCTGACCCCGGTTATGACCTCCTAAAGTTCCTGCCTCTAACACTGCTGCCTTGGGGAGTGACCCCATCTCTGTAGAGGCACTCATGCAGCATTTAAGTCACTGTGTTTCATCAGGAACACAGATCAGAACCACAGCGAGACACCGCTCCACACCCAGGTAGTGCTGCACCTTTAAAAAATGGTGGAATTCGACTTTCATTTCTGTTTGAAATGAAGCAACAGGAAC